TCTTTGGCAATTAATGTTTGTGGCTTACCCTCCTTGTGAAGGGTGTCAATGATTGTCTTCTGGACAACTGTCAGATCAGCAGTCTTCACCATGACTGTGTAGCCTAGTGAACCAAACTGAGAGACCATTTTGAAGGCTCAGGAAACCTTTGCAGGTGTTTTGAGTTGATTAGCTGATTGGCATGTCACCATATTCTAATTTGTTGAGATAGTGAATTGGTGGGCTTTTGTTAAATGTGAGCCAAAATCATCACAAAAGAACCAAAGACTTAAACTACTTCAGTCTGTGTGCACTGAATTTATTTAATACACAAGTTTCACAATTTGAGTTGAATTACTGAAATAAATGAACTTTTCCACGACATTCTAATTTATTGAGATGCACCTGTATATGGGAAGTCAATATTTTCCTATTATGATGTTCTTGAATGTTGAAACAGCTGAATCGACAGAAATCCTATGTTTTATATTAATCCAGCAGTGGAGGATAGTGTGGCGAGGTTGAAGTTCAAGGCTGTTGTTAAATACTTGAAAGAAATGAGTCATGAGCTTTTGAGAAAGGTACTTTCAATGCTAGCTTGATCCAGGGATAATGTTCTTCTTAGTGTACTTTGGATACAAATGTCATGCTAAATGACTACTTACTCGAAACGTGGATGAGGATATGGGTTAGCTGAACAAAAGCTGTATTTTGATATTGCGAGGACAATAACAGCTAAATATGTATACGTTTGCAGAATTTCCACCATTGTTCCAGTTGACACATGCATTGTACACTGTTGAACACTCAATAGTGTGCTCTTAAGGGGTACTCAGCAGTTTCAGTTTACCTGATGATGACTGCGATAAAGTTTTCTTTTTGTTTGCTTTAATTCAGATCCTCAAGCTTCATCAAGATCCTCATCTTACAGTAGTCCCCACCCTAACCCCAACCCGTATTTATTTATTTTGGATACAGCATACTATTAGGGTATTCCAGTTAGGAATTACATGACACCCATGATAGTCTATTGACGTATGTGAAATGTCAACAGTGAAGTGAAAGTAAGTCTTTGTTTTTTTGTAACTTCCATGGAAAGAAACCAAAAACAATAGAATGACAGATATAAGGTATTTTGGTTTCATAATAGCGTCAAGTACCATCACATTTGTGCCAAGTAAAAAACAAGTAATTTTGTTATATTAAAGTAACTATCCGGAGTCGTTTTTCTCACATTCTTAGACAAAGGAGATGTAATATAAACTGCTTTTAGAAATGTGATTTCTTTATGGAGTCAAAAGTGTGTAAATGGTTTATATTTTATTGGGATATTTTTACTATTCACCCACCCCAAAAAAAGTGTCATGTGGAAAAAATGACACAGTCAGTAGGTAGTTACTGTCACAGTCAGTAGTTAGTTATGAGGATGTCAAAGACACCCTTAAAAGAAAGGAAGCCGGAAGCACTTAACAGATTGTCTTGAAAAAATCTAAGATATAAATTATCAAAACGTTCATCCAATATAAACAGAAAATGGTTTAAGAGTGTTAAATAACCAAATAAATAACATTGAGAAATGACTGAACACACAAAATAGAAGGAAGCTCATTGATTTTTGAGGGAAGGGAGTCCAATAAACTGGAGTTTTACAATTTCTCAAAAGCCTTATGACGTAGGGCAGACTATGCTTCTAAGACTTCCTCAAGATAAAGCAAAAACTGAAAGTGTGTGAATGTGTGCTAAATTAGATAGGAAGAAATCTGATTAGACATCATAATACCTAAGTTATCATCAGTCATCCTAAGATATCACAAGTCAGAATCATTGTTATACTAAAAAGAAAGAAAATAATTTTTTTTTATTTTAAAGTCAGGCCGTCACGGGAACTCTACATCTACTCAAATTCAAAACATTTTGTCAGGTGGTGGCAGCACAATTAACATTTCTAATCACATGATTTCAATTATTAACTGATGAATTATGGAAATATTTCTATAACTAGACAAGCTTAGAATAATTTATTGTCGAACAACTAAAAACAATATTTTCCCATAAATTAAAGTAAATGTTTCAGCATGCTCTAACATGAATTGAAGTTGAAGTTGCAAAGACTAAAGTCTCAAAACCAAAGAGATATTCTTTATCAAAGTTAAGACTCTGCCACGCCCCCCTAAAACGGCTCGTTCTAACACACCGCCACATATCTACCTCACTATGTGGAAATATTTGCGTAATGAAAAAGCAATACTGAACTTTGAAGTGTCTCTATAAAGCTGATCAAGGGCCTTAAATTCTTTGTCTTATCATGAGGAGAAAATCATTCAAATGAACACTGCAGTAAATGCTGTAAACTTCAGACAATGACTCTCTTCTATTTAATATCAGTGATTTCCATAGACATAAAACAAACAGATAAGCAGATAAGAGTTACTTAATCAGACCTAAAGATGTAAAATAAGACTCATATAGAGCTCATTAAGAGTCATTAAGCTGTCAGTTACAGTAAACCAGATTAAACAGTTCTGAGAAATTGAAACTTACAGTGTATGATGATGAACATCATAACAGACAGGAGGTTCCTGGATGAGCAGTTATATATGTTATATAATCAGTTATATAATGTGAAATCTCAGTAAAAAAAATCACTGAGGATCTGTCATTATGGACAATATTTATATTTATCAAATTAAAGGGGACACAACACACACAGTTTCAGCCAATCTCATATTAATCTTGAGTACCTGTATAGTAGTATTGCATCCTTCATGTCTCCGAAGAGTCTTTAGTTTTATCAGATTTAAGAAAGAAAGATACAGCTTTACGATTCTCTCTGATAACAGTCGAGCTCCTGGAGGCGTGCTGTGGGCGGAGCTAAAGAGTCGTGAGCACTTACTTGCCAACTAAACACAGAAATGTGATGCAGTTTCACTTACTGCCTGCGGTTCCGACTTGTGACCGGGACCTTTTATTGCTGGGACCGCTCCATCTTTCAGTATCAAACGATCTGCAAATACAGTGTCGAACTGGGCCTTTTTTATAAAACATTAATCACCGAAATGACGGGAACAATAAACACACTTGCGAAACTCCCTTGCTGTCCCGGAAAAACAAACTGCATCCACTATTCACGTAATGCTGGCTTCTTTGGGAAGCTCAACAAGGTTATCTTTCCCTCACAACCAAAAACACAATTCAAAGTCCTGTGCAGCACTGCCGATGACTTCTGTAACCCGAATGAAGAACATTGATGGGCTGCTTTTGCTCGTGCTCTGTTTGATGTTCGCGTGCTCTTCTGGGATAAGTGCCCATAAAAGGAATTCCGCCCTTCATGACATCATACAGGGCCAATGAGCCAATAATGAGACC